TATGACAGCCAATTTTTACTCCGTCAGTCACATCATAAAGCTGTGTTTGCAAAATCTCACCAGTCTTACCGTCAGTTTCTCCTCTAAATTCTGGTTTAATAAGCTTCCTTTTTCATGCTTTTCAAATTCCATGTTGAAAGAGAATGAGAGAGAGAGACAGAAAAAGTGAGATTCCGATTCTGTCTAGAAAACGATGTGACGTGCTTACGCGTTAGATATTGCAGGACATTCCAACTTGTGAGAGCCCAGGACACTATCAGAAAGCCCTGGCGATAATTTCTGGTTAGCTAGTGTTTCCATTTATAGATGTTCAAACCCCATAAACAGAGCACTGAAGAGAAGTCAGGCAGCTGGCCTTAGATAATGATAAATGTCACTTGATGTAACAGCAAACTCTCCAACAGGAGACTATCCCAACACGTTAGGTTACCTGAGTCAAGAAAGATGTCTGTGACAAAAAGCCACTATCAAAGAATTCATTAGTAGCCATTGCAGCACAATAAAATATACTCTAGAATATGGGCCTAATAAATCAATTTTAAAAGGACAAATGTGATGGTCATATAGCAAATATGAATCAGCCAGTCCCATTCTTCCAAATTCCAATTTGGGTCCCGGTAGTCTAGACACTTATGCATTATTTTGTAGCTCAAAACTTTAAAAAGTCACTTAAAGCGAAGTTCAAAGGATAACTAATTAAAACTATTCAGACACACAACACATATATTCAATGGGTGTCAGTTTTATTCCATGAAAAGTGGGCAAATGATATTTAGAAACTTCAGGAAAGTGTTGTGAAAGGAACGTGTTTTCCTTCACAAAACTGATTTTTTCTTCATTATCCTGGCTTTTCTACTGGGAACAAAGTTATGACAGAGAAGATGAAATTCATTTTTCCAATGGAACAAATGTTCTCAGAATTCTTTAGAAAGTGTTACATGCTTGAAAGAAAATTAACTGTGGTAATTAGCTCTCCGGGGTTTTTTGTTCTTTTTTTTTTTGCAGCAAACTACATATGCGAATGGCAATAAAACATAAAAATGGCTTTCAGAGTAAGCTAAGACTGATCTCTACGGTGGCCTAGTCTCTCAGCCTTTTCAAACATCATTTTCACAACTGTTTGTGATCGTATCTCAAATTACCTATCGGTTTTTCCTCCACTTTTAGGAAACATTTTAGGAAATGAGTTATGAGGCTCTGTCCTTTAGCATGATTACAGCTGGTTCTCTATTGCCAGGCAGGGTTGCTCTAGAGCTTATTCTGCATCAGGATGGAAGGGCTGAGGATTCCAGAAGTGAAACATTTAGTAGAAATAAACCTAGCTAGCCCTGCTTCAGGATGAGAATTCAGAAATGGTCTATCAGATTCATGGGCCAAAGGGGCTTCCCTCTTTGGCTCACCTCTGAGATCCAGAAAGGGAATCACACATGTTGTCCTAATACGTTTGCAATGAAGTCTTATAGGCTGAATAGCAGGCAAGATTGGTATATGTCAAAATCAAGGCAAGAGTTGAAATTTTATGTGAAGGGAACTTCCAAAATCTCTCTAGGAAAAAAAAAGGCATGCTATGGCTGCAAAAGGAAACAGTTATTGCTAGTGTAATGCCGGAAGGTGAAATTCAGGATCCAGTTGGGAGTAGGGGGATGGTAGGATGCAGAGCCGGTTGGAGGAGAAGATAACAGGTATAATGACAGGGACATGCCAGTGCCAGTGGGAGGGATGGAAAGTTTAATTCAACAAACATGTACTGAGTATACATAATGGGTGAAGATTACCCTAGATTCAGGCAGATTTTTAAAAAATAATGAATAAAAACAATAATAAAGTGAAAAGATACAATCTCTACTTTTCTTCCCCAACAAACTCACAATGTAAACGTGACTGTATATAAATAAGATATTATAGCACTCTTACATAGCCCAGTCCCATAGCACTCACCATGTGCCAGGAGCGGCTTTAAGACTTTCCATATATTACCTCAATTAATTCTCCAAACCACTTCTAGAAGGTAGATACTATTCTGCCTACTTCTTTCTGGTGTTTGTTAAACACTTCTAGGTAGATACTACTATTTTCTCCGTTGTTATGAGATGAATTGTGTTCCCCAAAAAATTCATACATGGAAGTCCTAACCCCCAGTCTCTCAGAATAAGGTTATATTTAGAGATAGGGTCTTTACAGAGGTAATTAATTTAAGATGAAGTCATAAGGGTGGGGGCCTAATCCAATATGACTGGTGTCTCTGTAAGAAGAGGCGATTAGGACAAAGATACACACAGAGGGAAGACCATGTGAGGACACAGGGAGAAGATGGCCATCTCCAAGCCAAGGAGAGAGCCTCAGAAGAAACCAACCCTGCTGACACCTTGATCTTGGACTTCTAGCCTCCAGAACTGTGAGGAAATATATTTTTGTTCTTAAAGTCACCCAGTCTGTGACTTAACAGACTAGCAGCGCTAGCAAATTAATGCACCCATTTTACAGTTGAAAAAATAAGACAGTTACACAGCCAATAGCTGGCACTCAAGCCCCCTGGCCCAAGCACCTACCCACTGGGCACTTCAGCACCTCTGAACAAGTAATCTCATCCCAGGCACAACAGGGCAAGTGGGTCTGTAGCCCCAGCACTGTATGGTGAGGACCACTTACTCCATCTGTGTACAGAGATATGCTTAAATATATTTTACATATGTTTTAGGGACAGGGGCTTTCTTAGGTAAGATCATGCCCATGCAAAAGCCAGCCCTTGTCCGCTTGCTGGTCCAACAGAAGAGATGAGCTACATGGGTCTCCTTCCTGTTCATCAGTCACGACAAACACGTCTCCTTCCCCTGACTGGAGAGCCCTCTCTCCAGAGTCACGTGGCTCCATTCTCCCTTCATCCAGAGCTTCCCCAGTGACCATCTAAAATAGCAAACCCTCTGTCCACTCATTTGCCGTTTTCTCCTTCATAGCTCTTATCACCTCTGGCAGTCTATTATTTCACATGATATTTGAAGTTTATACATATCTAACATTTATTTGCAGTTCATCTCTCCTACTACTGTATAAGCACCAGAGGGTGCTTTATTCACCACTTTATCCAGGCACTTAGAACATAATAAGAACTAAATAAAGAATTTGTAAAAGAAAGAGGGCAGGAATGAGAGGAAGGAAAGGAAAAAGCAAAGAAGGAAAGAGGGAGGAAGGGAAGGAGGGGAAACGAGGGAAATGTATCAAATGGATGTGACAAGACATTTAATGAACTATTATTTAAAAGACTTTTGGTAGGAAACACAGGAATAAAATGCATGTTTATCCAACGCAAATCATACTATAGATGAATACAATATGGATTGCTCACTTATTTTACTCAAAACACTAACCATTAGAGTAAAGGAGAAATAAGTAGACTCAAGAAGCGGGAAGAATTGAATTTATTTGCAGATTCTGCCAATTTCTAGTTGGGTCACTTTGAGCAAATTAATTCTCAGAATTTCAGTGCCCTCTCCCTTTAAGAAAGGGATGATATCAACCTCTTAATGTTGTGACAAAAATTAAAATATGCTAACAGGTGCAAAGAACTTCACACAGTGTCTGCCATCAAGCAGGTTCTGGGTGAAAGTGCGTGCCATTATTTCCCCAGGCTTCGTGAAGTTTATCTAGGAAAAAAAGTTCACTTCAAAGATAGTATCAAAGTCCTAACAAATGTGGCAAAAAAATTAACAGAGAGAATGGGAGAAAATATTTGCAAATCATTTATCTGATAAGAGACTTGTATCCAGAATACATAAAGAACTCTTACAACTCAACAATAAAAAAAGACAAATAAACCCAATTTTTGAAATGGGCAAAGGATATGAATACACATTTCTCCAAAGAAGACAAACAAATGTCCAACAAGCACAAGAAAAGCTGTTCAACAAAATTGTGATTAAGGAACCCAAATCAAAGCCACAATGAGACAGCATTTTGCACCCATTAGGATGGCTAAAATCAAAACAGACAGTAACAAGCATTGGCAAGGATGTGGGTAAAAGAAAGCCTTGTACATTGCTGGTGGTTACAAAGTGGAACAATCACATTAGAAAACAGTGTGGGAGTCCCTCAAAACCTTATATACAGAGTTACAATATTATCCAGAAATGCTACGTCTAGGTATATACCTAAAAGTTTTGTATATGTTCATACAAAAACTTGTAAAAAAATGTTCATGATAGCATTATTCATAATAGTCAAAAAGTGAAAACATAAATGTCTATCAACACATGAAAGGGGATATGTCATACAGAAGCATATTACTCAGCAATAAAAGGAATGAAGTATTGATACATGCAGCAATGTGGATGAACCTTGAAGTGAAAGAAGCTAGTCACAAAAAGTCACATATTACGATTCATTTATGTGAAACGTCCAGAATAGGAAAATCCATAGAAATAGATAATGGTTGCCAGAGGTTGAGGGGAAAAAGCAGACTGTGGAGTGACTGCTGGTGAGTAGGGATGGGGTTTTTGAGGGTGATGAAAATATTCTGAAATTAGATAATGATGATGACTACATAACTCTGGATATGCTAAAAAGCACTTAATTGTATGTATACTTTGAAAGAATGAATGTTATGGTATGTGACTGAAGGTATTATTTAAAAAAAAAAAAGGAGGAAGATCTATAATTCCTTTCTAAGATGGGAATTTATGATTTTTCCCCAGGAATATAATATGAGCAATGGGTCGCTCCAAACAGGAAATTAAAATCTACTCTACGGTAGGCCAGCAAGAAGTTCATTCAAAAGTGAAACAAATGACCCTCAGCAAATGAGATTCGCTTCAAGGCACTGCCACCTCACTCCATTCCTTTGCATCATCACCATAGGCCTTGTGGGGCTGGGGAAATCCCAGCTGCTCAGGTTTTGTGCTCATATTCAAAAACTGGGGGAAAGTAGAATTTGCAGCCATTAAAATGACTTGTTCATCTACTGGATCCAAGAGTTAAATATAGTTTTGTTTTGTTTTGTTTAATAGTGGTAACTTCCCCCACACCTGCCATTTAAAGAATCTTTCATCTCCACAACAAAAGCACAGATAAATGCTCTGCTGCTGAAACGTCACAAGGTAGGTAGACACCCACGAGACATGAAAAACAAATGCTGTCTTCTTTTTAAAAGAATGACATGGGGCTTCCCTGGTGGCGCAGTGGTTGAGAGTCCGCCTGCTGATGCAGGGGACACAGGTTCGTGCCCCGGTCCGGGAAGATCCCACATGCCGCGGAGCGGCTAGGCCCGTGAGCTATGGCCGCTGAGCCTGCGTGTCCGGAGCCTGTGCTCCGCAACGGGAGAGGCCACAACGGTGAGAGGCCTGTGTACCGCAAAAAAAAAAAAAAAAGAATGACATGTCTGCAGAGCATGGTGTAGACAGCTGAAGATCGTCCTCATTGTATGTGCCAAGGATAAATATCTTTTTATTAAGATAGGATCCTCTTCTGAGACAAGGAACACCTTTTATATGGGTTTCTTATCATTCTACACAGCATTTCCCAGACATGGGTCCTACGTGCTCTCCACAGTTAAGTCAGAAGCCCATGTAACCCCACACCCATTTAGTAGTGATCCAGGACACTGCACTCAGCACATGCCTCCAGGTGCCATATCCTGTCCCAAGAACCACCCGCATCTCACCCCAGGGCTGTGTTTCCTGTGGCGCTCAAACACCAAATGCAATTCCTATTACACCCAGCACTGAGAACTTATCTCACTCAAACAGCTAACTTTGGACCTGTTGGTGTTGCTTTTGGTTCAAAATGTATGCCTATGTCTCTAGGAGGCTCTGTTTGATGGTCCAATGGGATGAGGGGGAGGAGTGACAGTGAAAAACAAAACACAGAGACTGGCCCCCAGAATTCCCTGGTTTTCCCAGCATCCCTGCCTGAGTCTGTTTATCAGCTTTGGCCGCTGTGAACCCTCAGGCAGCAGTTGTGAACTCTTATTCTAGAAAATCCTTCTGACTCTTATCTTCCGGTCTGTCTGTGCATCTGGCAAATAGGCAAAGACCCAAAGACTTTAACCTCCCACTGTCACCATTTGTAAGCCCCTTTATGGCTTCTGCAGGCCAGAGGAACATGCCCATATCTTGTGAAAAGATAATGTCAACAGAGGAATTTCTTAAAGTTGAATTTGCCACTATGTAATAAACATTTTTTATAAGTGGAAGCTGCCAAGTGGACACAAAAGCAAACCCCAAAATATCATTATATGATAATTATGATAATGACAGCTTAACAAATTTGTACCTTTGTAATTACCAGTCTTCAATGAAACACAAACCTTTTCTACTGGAATATGATATTTTTGACTTCTGATACTATTTGATCCCTTATTTTGGTTCTGGGCCAATTTTTTAAATGATTCTAGGCAACACATTTTAGTCAACGGAAGGAAAAGAATATTTTCTTTACAAAATCACCTTTGATGGTAGAGCATTTGTTTGGAGCATTAGAAAATATTTCAATTAAGCGAGAGCTGTGAGAACTTTGAAAAGTGTTATCTTTTTTAATGTGTGCAACTGAAAAATGCAATTCTTTTATCAAAACTTACTGAAAAATAAAATGAGAGATTTTTAAAACAAACACTAACACCAATCAACACTGACAAGAGCAATGATTCTGATATGAAACGAAATCCTTATCTCCAGAGCCTGTAACACATAAGCTGGGAAAAATCAGCCCAGGATCCAAGTCCAGCAAGTTTCGTTTTCTGAACTGTGCTATACTCAGCACCTACAATATACCTTATTTATACAGTATATATATATATACACACACATATATATATATATATACATACACACACACATATATAGTATATACACTATATTTACATATACACAGATATTTATATATACACAAATATTTATATATACAAAAATATATACGCTGTATGTGCAGGCCCTCTGAATAGTAAATACACTTCCCAGTACTCAGTGTCTCTCTTTCTCTCTCTCTCTCTCTCTCTCTCTCTCTCTCTCACACACACACACACACACACACACACACCATTGCTGTCTCAGGAGTGAAGACAACAGCCAAGATTAACAAGATTTCAGGAAAAAGGATTCAAAGATGAAAGCCTTTACTTTTTGAATATTAGAATTCCAGTGTGTGTTTCTCACGTCAGAAAGGAGTTCCGGATTTAAGTTTTCCTGTGTCTTTGCAGCTAAGCAAAGCAATGAGATTTTACACCATCACTCGCTTCTCCCCTAACCCCAGCAGCTTTGTCATGTGTGGACATGACAAATCACTTTGCCCCCAAAGTCACGGCTCCGGGCCCTTTGACAGCGTGCATATACCCAGGATATACTTTCAGCTTTATCAGTGGAAACTGAAACACGTTTCAAGGCAGTGTGCCCTTATACAGAAAGAATGCTTACCTTTCAACTGACTTGGAAGCAGCCTGCAGGACGGCCATCCATCAGGGAGGTCACCGGCCACATTCCCCGAGCAGCTGACCCTGTCAGTCTTTGGAAAATACTGTTTACTCTGTAACTAATGCTGGATCCCAGGCACAAGATACAGAAACAAAATTTTAAAAGAGTTAGGCGTAAACCTCATCCCCACTAGGACCTCTTCATGAAAACAGGAGTTGCGAAGTTTCCCCAGATGATTTCTTAATACGAAAGTCTCAGCAGTTCTGGAGATTTGGAGTCGAGCATTGAAAAGTTTTGCAGCACAGCAAACTATCTACTTTTTAGTGTACTGATGAAAATTCTTTAAGCTTCCCTATGGACATAAGTGATAGACAAGTAAAAGGTTACTAGAAATGGAGTTTTCTCTTCTGTTTATTTTGATTAGATTTTTGAAAATAAGATTGAAAGTCCTCCTGAAATGAAATGCCAATTGTTCCAGAGAAAATAGGTCAGAATTATACAAAGGGGAGCCCGTGACAGACTGAACAAACCCCACAGTCAGGCAGGGCACTTGCCTTGAGATCCAGCCACCAGGAAATACCCAGAGGGGCAGACTGTTGGTTCACCAACTGGCCTTGACACTCACGGCGAGGAGAAAGAGTCAGACACTCCAGACTGGCAGGTGGCAGATTAAATAAGCAAGGGAACTTCCATGTGAGGCTTGTCTTGGGTGACGACAAGACAAGCAGATCTCCATACTTGCCCACCGGAATTTTATTTTATTTTTATTTTTTTAACATCTTTATTAGCGTATAATTTCTTTACAACGGAGTGTCAGTTTCTGCTTTATAACAAAGTGAATCAGTTATACATATGTTCCCATATCTCTTCCCTCTTGCATCTCCCTCCCTCTCTTCCTCCCTATCCCACCCATCTAGGTGGTCACAAAGCACCAAGCTGATCTCCCTGTGCTATGTGGCTGCTTCCTACCAGCTATCTATTTTACGTTTGATAGTATATATATGTCCATGCGACTCTCTCACTTTCTCCCAGCTTACACTTCCCCCTCCCTGTATCCTCAAGCCCATTCTCTAGTAGGTCTGCATCTTTATTCCCGTCTTGTCCCTAGGTTCTTCTCACCATTTTCTTTTTCTTTTTTTTTTTTTTTTAGATTCCATATATATGTGTTAGCATACAGTATTTGTTTTTCTCTTTCTGACTTACTTCACTCTGTATGACAGTCTCTAGGTCCATCTACCTCACTACAAATAACTCAGTTTTGTTCCTTTTTATGGCTGAGTAATATTCCATTGTATATATGTGCCACATCTTCTTTATCCATTCATCTGTTGATGGACACTTAGGTTGTTCCATGTCCTGGATACTGTAAATAGAGCTGCAATGAACATTGTGGTACATGACTCTTTTTGAATTATGGTTTTCTCTGGGTATATGCCCAGTAGTTGGATTGCTGTGTTGTATGGTAGTTTTATTTTTAGTTTTTTAAGGAACCTCCATACTGTTCTCCATAGTGGCTGTATCAATTTACATTCCCACCAACAGTGCAACAGGGTTCCCTTTTCTCCACACCCTCTCCAGCATTTATTGTTTGTAGATTTTTTGATGATGGCCACTCTAACCGGTGTGAGATGATATCTCTTTGTAGTTTTGATTTGCATTTCTCTAATGATTAATGATGTTGAGCATTCTTTCATGTGTCTGTTTGCAATCTGTATATCTTCTTTGGAGAAATGTCTATTTAACTATTCTGCCCATATTTGGATTGGGTCGTTTGTGTTTTTGATATTGAGCTGCATGAGTTGCTTATATATTTTGGAGATTAATCCTTTGTCAGTTGCTTCATTTGCAAATATTTTCTCCCATTCTGAGGGTTGTCTTTTTGTCTTGTTTTATGGTTTCCTTTGCTGTGCAAAAGCTTTGAAGTTTTATTCGGTCCCATTTGTTTATTTTTGGTTTTATTTCCATTTCTCTAGGAGGTGGATAAAAAAGGATCTTGCTGTGATTTATGTCATAGAGTGTTCTGCCTATGTTTTCCTCTAAGAGTTTGATGGTGTCTGGCCTTACATTTAGGTCTTTAATTCATTTTGAGTTTATTTTTGTGTATGGTGTTAGGGAGTGTTCTAATTTCATTCTTTTACATGTAGCTGTCCAGTTTTCCCAGCACCACTTATTGAAGAGGCTGTCTTTTCTCCACTGTATATTCTTACCTCCTTTATCAAAGATAAGGTGACCATCTGTGTGTGGGTTTATCTCTGGGCTTTCTATCCTTTACCATTGATCTGTATTTCTGTTTTTGTGCCAGTACCATACTGTCTTGATTACAGCAGCTTTGTAGTACAGTCTGAAGTCAGGGAGCCTGATTCCTCTAGCTCCGTTTTTCCTTCTCAAGATTGCTTTGGCTATTCGGGGTCTTTTGTGTTTCCATACAAATTGTGAAATTTTTGTTCTAGTTCTGTGAAAAATGCCAGTGGTAGTTGGGTAGGGATTGCATTGAATCTGTAGATTGCTTTGGGTAGTACAGTCATTTTCACAATTTTCATTCTTCTAATCCAAGAACATGGTATATCTCTCCATCTATTTGTATCACCTTTAATTTCTTTCATCAGTGTCTTATATTTTTCTGCATACAGGTCTTTTGTATCCTTAGGTAGGTTTATTCCTAGGCATTTTATTCTTTTTGTTGCAATGGTAAA